AGTGTCATCTGTATCCACATCCCCTCTCTAATGAGACTGTCTAAAAGACACCCAATCCTAAAACCGTGGACAATACTTAGCCCCTTGGGGACTTGATGCGTTTACAGTTGCATAATTTGTCCACTTAACTTCAGAAGAGAAGAGTCAGGCTTTAAGTAAGTAAGTAAATAGATGAGTGCGCAATTTTGGAATAAACATTGGGGAACAGAAGCAAATTTGATATTGCTTTGACCCTCTGATCAATGCGTAGCCACAAGGAACTGTTTTTCATTTTCCCATATTTTGGTGATTAAATCGCACTGAGGAATCTTTTCGGAAATGCCGTGGTTGTGAAGAACACGGCTCTTTTTTCTGACTAAGTTAAATACTCATTCGTCTTTGTCGCCATGGCACATTCCCTGTCTAATGTGAGAGGGAAAATGGCCCTGATAACGAGGTTGACAAGAATTTGCAGGGTAACTAATCAGGTCATTATTTACATGTCTTCGGTCTATACTGGTATTATGGCCTGTAGAGAAAGCCCCCTCTCACCGCTCCGTCAAAGAAAGTGGGGAAAGATCTCTTAACTTGCAAACCATTGATATGTGGCAAAGACCCCCAAAACACTAAAAAGCAACTATTCTTGCTGAATAACCGTCAGGGCACTGCATTCCCTTCTGTGGGCAGACTTTAAGTTGAAATTGATGAAGGATGCACATGAAAGGACTTTTTCCTGAGATGTTAGTGAAGCTAGTTTCTTCATTCCTGCACTGTTTCCATGCTTTCTTGCCACTGATGAACAGAGGTGAGGAACAGTGGTGATGAACGCGAACTAGAGATGAAAACTCGGCTTCAGTCAATCTCTACGACAGTATCGCGATATGGTTTGGAGGTAAAAATTCGTTTTATCAATTGTGACGTAATAGTCATGAGCAAATGACGCAACGTTGTTAGCGTTTCCTCGTTTGAAATGGAGATGTGCGCGCGCAATCTGGGCGCTTTGACCTTTGTCAGGACCACAGGACCTGTGGTTCTAAATGGCGAATTTGAGCGATTTGGTAGATTTTGCGGTGACTGTTACTTTACTGTATAAGAAGGTGACTGTTACTTTACTGTATAAGAAGGAGACATCTTGTCTCCTTCTTATACAGTAAAGTAACGCAAAATCTACCAAATCGCTCAAATTCGCCATTTAGAACCACAGAAACGACAATAGACAGCAAGTGAGGTAGGTTTACATTTATTTTGAGCCTTAACATAGACATTCCTTGATATAAGTTTACGATATTACGACTCTTCAATATTCTCCCATACATTTCTTATATTTCGAACAAACGACCAGACACGCCGCTTGTGTGGGTATATAGCCTGTGGTCAGGGCTGCATAATTTATGAGTCCGAGAGGTCTAGTGCGCATTGCTGGGACTTAGGCTCCCACGGCGCAAATATCCAACATGGCGGATAATCATCTGACACTTTGGTGAACGTTCAAAATGTCCGTTGTTTCGCTGCAGCTAGGGCAATGTGGCAATCAGATAGGCGGAGAACTATTTAATACGTTAATGGAAGATGCATCAAAACTAAATCCGCAGTTTATTTCGAAAAATGTTGATCATAAAGTTAACCAGGAATACAAGGAAGAAGTAGTGGAGAGATTCTTTTCACGAGACAGAACAGGAGCAGCCAATGCCCGGGCAGTTATGATTGATATGGAATCAAAGGCGATATCTCAAACTCTTTTAGAGGCTAAGAAGTCTGGAAAGTGGACATATCCGTCGGAACAGCAGTTTTGTCAAAAACGTGGATCTGGGAACAATTGGGCTCATGGATTCCTGGAACACGGACCAAAGTCTACAGACACTGTGCTTGAAATGGTGCAGAAAGAGGTAGAAAAATGCGACAGATTCGGTGGATTTTTGATTTTTCTCAGCTTGGCTGGGGGAACAGGCTCGGGTGTAGGGGCACATGTCACAGGTTGTCTTCGTGAAGAGTTTCCCCACTCGTTCATATTGAATCAAGTTGTTTGGCCTTATGGCACGGGTGAAGTGATTGTTCAAAACTACAATGCTATCTTAACTTTATCTCACTTGTATAAGTACTCAGATGGAATAATTATCTTGGAAAATGATAAATTACAGGGTATATGCTCCAGGTTGATGAATTTAAAACATATATCTTTCAAGGACATCAACAGAGTAATTTCTCACAAACTTGCCAGTGTTCTACAGCCAGTGAAACTTTTTTCGCCTGACCAGGAACCCAATTTCTACAAAAGAGCTGTATCAGTCAGAAATCTGCTAGGTGATCTGATTGAACAAGTCTGCCCACATCCTGAATATAAGCTGACCACACTGAAGAACATTCCACAAATGGCTGAAAATTCTTTGGCTTACAGCACGTACACGTGGCCTGGACTCCTAAAGCACTTACGACAGATGCTAGTAGCTGATGCTAGCATGGAGGAAGGTGTGGAATTTTCTCTGTTCTGTAATGGTAACAAGGAAAAAATCTGTCATGTAGGTTGTAGTTTAAAATGAATTTTAACTAGTTGGTTAGATAAGTTGTTATGATTCCTAAAGGTTTTTTGTCTGTCTTTTCATGAGCATGGGACGAAGAAAATTTTCTGAATCCCTGTGAGAAATTGAACCCGAGACTTTCTTCCTTGTTCTAATGCTCTATTGCTGAGCTGCAGAGGTTCTGCAGTTAGCTAGACAGTAAATTTTGAGCTCAGCAATGACAAAGAGGAATATTTTTTTTTTGTCTGTTTTCTTTGTTCCAAGCTCATGACAAGACAAAAACAAAACATCTTTCTCATCATGGATTTTTTTGTACATATACAGTGTTCTTTTGGTGATTCAGTGTGTCTCAATGGGCCAAAGGTACATGTACATTTTTACTTCATTGCAAAAGATAAACTTGGAAAGACAATTTTTTTTCAGTGGATGAATAAGACTTCCTCAGAGGAAAGTGCAATTCTTAGCGCTACCATGTCACAATTAAAAATAGCTGATTCCATGACCTTCTTCTAAGTACTTCAGTGGTTGGAATATCAGGAGTTACACTGGGATTTTCTTGTTTGTTTGTTCAGAGTTGAGTTAGCTGGTGTCACCCGCTGAAATATGTCTTCTATCACCTCAGTCACTGGGGTTAACACTTACTTTCTTTATTTCCACAAAGGTGAAAATCTTTAAATGAAGGTGAAACAAAAAAGTAGAGGAAAAGGGATAGGAGAGACACCACTGTTGTTGCACCCACCATTTTCTTTAACCTCATAACTCCCAGAAGTGATTAACAGGTCACTTCTCCCTATAATATCGATATATTATCCAGCTAAAAGGTGATGAGAATACTCAAACTCATCAGGTAGAAGTTATTATCTTGATCATACTCCAAATTCTTGTCACTAAGTGTACAAAGAAACATGTAGCTGCCAGAGGGGAGAATTAATTATCAGATCTTGGTAGTGGAAGGGTTAAATATCTACACTTTATATATCTCCCCTGCAGGCATTGACTGGGAAGTCAAGTTGCCTGTGCCATCAAACCCAAATGGTGCTGATTTTCACCAAAGACCTGGAGAACTGCCACGATTGAGGAGTAGATTTAACAAATCTATTGCCAACCTTTTAGTGTTGCGAGGAGTGGATGTTCATATGGCAGATCTGTCTCCTTTTAATGATCCAAGGCTTAGTGCAAGCTGGGTACCACAGACTTGTGCCAATGCAGTGTGGTGCCACCATAGGCCATTCAACCATTATGAAAAATCTGCAACACTACTTACAAATAGTCAAACTCCAGTATTACCTTTAAACTCTGTCGTCCAGAAAGCCTGGAACATGTTTTCCTCTCGAGCTTACATTCATCAGTATTTAAAGTATGGAATGACTGAAGATCATTTTGTAGACAGTTTTGCTGCTACTGAGCAAATCATCAGAAATTACTCTTCTCTCTAGGCCAAGATTTTGTCTTACAATCATCTTGAAATTCTGTGTTGGTCACTTGGTTTTGTAGAAAAGGTGTGCTAACTTTAACTCTTTAACTCCCAGAAGTGATTAACATGTTACTTCTCCCAGTAATATTCAGATAATATCCAGCAAACAGGTAATGAGAATACTAAACTTATCAGGTACAAGTTGTTATCTTGAAGACCAAGTTCTTGTAACTAATTTACAAGGAAATCTGTAGCATCTAATGAGGAGAATCAACAATCAAATTTTGAGAGTTAAGGGTTATCTATGGGAAAATGATTATCAACTTGTAGCATCTAAGTTTAGGCTACATTGCAAAAGGTTTAATTGACCCACTTTTCTGTGTGTATCTAGGAAATTAACTTCACACCTTCCTTTACTACCTTTGGTAATTGTTTTTAGGACATGGTGTATGGTGAAAGCTCAGTTTACAGCTGTCTCTTTCCTTTTCTTTTTGCAATTTGGCCTAGTTAAAATTGAAAAATTATCTTCATCAAATTTCCATTTGAGAGATAAGGGGTACACTGTATGCAAAACTTTTTCTTGGAAATTTCAGCAAGGTGTGCTATAAATAATGTGCAGGTCACAAGCAAAAGTGGATAGAAATTAGTCCAAAGTCAAAGAGAAGTAAAATTTGAAGTTAGGTAAACTGCAGCAGGATAACCAGTGACAGACCACAATTTGGATCCATTAGAATGCAGACTTTCATCTATCAAGTGTCACTGTTTTCATCTTAGTATGGATACTCACCAGAAAATTATCTCTTAATGAGGTGGAAACATATAGGGCTGTTTATATGCACCACGTCTAACCCAAACCATGGTTTTAGGCAATCAGTGGGCCACAGGTTTTCTCTAAAAGAGGGTTGATTCAACTAAATGAATGTCCTTCCACTATTAGCTTTCAGCCCTCATGATGTATTTCACATCAATAGATATTCAGATGAAAGGTCCCACTAAATTGAGGATTGTTTTGGATGTGGCTAAACTTTGTTTATATTTTCCTTGGTATTTGGTAGCCAAATATTTGAACTTCTTAAACAACCATTTACCCCCAAGTGTAAAAGTATGTTTATGATAAAATAGGTACCGGTATGTTTATAATAAAATTAAAATAAAACCCACCCTTCAAAATTCAGATGTTGGGTAACAAAATGTTGCATGTATGCACCCATTTAGGATACATTTTTCTGCCATGTGTCTAGCTGACAGTGGACAAGCAGTAGCCATCTAGAAGTTCAACTGTTGCTAACTTTCATGCATATGAGAACGTTCTAAGAACAATGAAGCTAAACTCAAATTGTAATTATTGTGATGTATTTATTTCTTGGGAATGAACAATGATCTTTTGTTATTCTACAAAATATACATGCAACAAAACAGTAACATTTTTCTCTTAATTTAGAAACTTTTAAGTTACTTAATGTTATTCAAAAGCCTTTGGCTTCCCAACATGGCCATCTAACTAGTAAAAAAACTCTACAACATTCGCTGGCCTAGACAAAAATTAACTTTTTAAAGAAAGTTCTTCTATAAATAATAAGCATAAATTAACCTATTGTTTTCTGACACAAATTTTTTGCAAATTATACAATAATGTTTAACTCAATGTTTAACAAATAATTTATTTTCTTGTTCAACTCTAAAGGAAAGACTACAGTCATATAATTACAATTGACCCAGACTCAATGTTATCCAAAAACTTAACACATTAAATGTGAATTCTGGGTCCTCATAAGTCATCTTATAGTTACATTAAATTCTTTGCCTTTGCAGACAATTTCTTGGTCAGTTGCTTTGTGTCTCTTCGGAATTTTAATGTTCACCATAAATGATTCACCACTGACAATACTATTACTTTTCAATTACTTCCTTCTAAAGGTAATCTTTGAAATGGTATGTTTACAAAAAGTTATTATTTGCCACTTTTTCAACTTTAATTGACCAACTTTGTGGAAACTAAATTTGTTTGTTGTTATGTTGCCTCTACAATTGGCAACCTCCCTTTGACCTGAAGACGATTGTCCTAAATAATACTGACTAACAGTTTTTCTTCCTAAAAAGCACCAAATTATTCTAACTGCCCAGCAGGGTCTTCAGTGGAGGTCTAACAACTTTTCTGAATATTCCTTCAAGAAAATTTGGCTTTATCAACTGAATTGATAAGTGTAAATAATTTGGCCGCCATAAAGAGTTCCAAAGCTGAAGGTCTCAAGAGGTAACCCTTTGTCAGAGTAAAATTGTCAGCTTTAGAAATTCTTGACAGAGGCCAATTTACAAAAACTCAGCCGATAAAGCCTAATTATTTTGTAATACCCTCCATTGACAAAGCACCACAGTTTCATTAGAAACTTACCCCCTTCATGAAGATTCTTTCAGTTGTTTTATGGCAAATTCACTCATATATTCTTTGTGCTAATCACAGTGGTGCAATATTGAAACACAAATGTGAATAAGTCTATTAACAGAAACCAATTTTGTGTGTTTACATCTACTAATTTACTTTTAAGCAAGACGTAACTTTGCTAATTTGAACAAACCCCACTTTGTGTGTTAATTGCAGATTAATATTTGTGTTCAGCTGTTTCACCTCTTTTCAGCAGTACTACCAACAAAAGCAGTTGTTGAACTGCCCAAGTAAAACAATCTGCAAGTTTTACTTTGAGCTGTCCTGATACAGTACTTGTATGTGAAGTGTCAGCTCTTGAAAATTCACTTCAGCATTTAATTTACTTTTTATCTTGTTTTCACTATGTATTTAACCTAAATTTAGGCCACATGCAAAAAATTTCAATTGGAGTTAACAAAGTTAAGGTTAGGAGGAGACTGAAAGGGATTTATTAAGCATGGCATAGTTCTGCTTGCAGCCCTCTCACTTACCTCCTGCCTGAAGTACAAAAGAGCAAAACTGGCCTTGGACTAACTCTGCCATGGTAAGTTCCAGAAACGTAAACAGTCAGTAGCCAAAAGTCAAAGCCAATCACATGATTGTTCAGCCTTCTTGTAGTTGGGTTAACCTATAATTTTCTCCAGTTCTGCAACCTACTGTTTGTGTTAGTACATCTGACCCTTTAAACCCAAAAAGTGACCAGCATCTAATTTCTCCTAACTGTAATTGACTGCTGAATCACTCAAAGATCACGAGAATAAAGGAAATGATAACCAACTTAAGAAGCTTGATTGTTAGAAAATTTCACCCTGTCAGTACCAAAGGAAATGTCTAGAGAAGAATATAGAGAATACGATATTGTTGTTAGGGTGTAAAGAGGTTATAGAGTGTTCATGCTGTTTTCATTGTTATCGTTTCTGATACCCAGGAAATTTTCAGCTGGTAACTTCATCAGTCAGTGCCATCCATAGCCATCAGGGCTTCCTGGGCCTGTCGAACAGCCACTCTGTAATATCCTTTCTTCTGCTTTTTGTGCCGTTTTGCAAAGTTGGGCAGGAACAACTGGAGACTGTGGATGTGCATAATTGAGCTTGTATTGGACCCAAACCATGAGACATGAGCATCTCTGTCCCAGGGGTTGTTGCTTTCTTCATTGCGAATTCCACTAATAGCCAACACCCTCCCAGGCCACCAAGGATGGCCATGGACTTTGCCCCACACAATGTCGCCAACAGACACGGGATTTATCTTGTCCACTGGCGTCATTTGGGGCTGAAGTTTCCATGTCATTCTCTGAGTGTATTTGGTGGGTGAAGTAATATTTTTTTGAGATTTTTCATTTGAAGGAGTTGATCCTTCAGTGGCTTGGTTTGAAATATGTAAACTTGATGATTTCAAAACAGCATTATCTTCACCAAAAACTGATTCCACTTCTTTAAGAACATTAAGTTCTGCAGAAGATTTTTTGTGTTCCAGTTTTGCGCTCTTTGGTTGAGAGTGCAATATATATTCCCTGCGTTCACTAATTCTTGCCGACCTTTTAAGAGGAACATTTACAAGCTGTGCCTCTTTTGTCTCAATATTCTGTTGTTTTTCACTTGCCACACTCTCATTGTTGTTCCTTTCCACATCAAAATCATCCAAAGCTTTCACAACATTCCCAGTCTGGGTGACCATAGTGTTGTCCTGTCTCTCTATGTCTTGTTCTTGTGTAGGAGGCAACCTCACATAATGAACATTCAAAATGTTAGAAACACATGTTTCTTCCTCTCCAACAGCTACCTCAGAACTAGTTTTGGTCCCACTGCTGTTTTCAATTTTTGTGGTTGTTGAATTTGTCCCTGCATTGGGCTGTTTGGATTTATTTTGATCTGTCTCGTCCACATTATAATGAACATTTTGATCAGTCGAAGATGTAAACAATTCTATGCCATTAGTGGAAGTTACTCTTTTTGTCAGCATACTTAAAGGTGAATCAAGTTTATTAAATGACACGACAGCACCAAGTTGTCGCTGTCCAGTGCTTGATGCAATATCAACTGGTACAACAGGAACAGAGCATGACTTGGTCAAGATAAATTTGAACTGTGTTGGGGAAACAGCCTTTGCTGCTAAATTCTTTGATCCAAGAGACCACTCACCTTCCATTTTTAATTCAGTTTTCATTGGATTTTTTAAATCAGCCTTGAGTTTCTTTGCCTGGGTTTGTTTCTGGACACCCTTGCCTACAACCTTCACACTGTCTGGTCTTTTTTTCCTTGATCTGCTATGGCTGTCTTGATTTGAAGACTTTCTTTTCAAGTTAGCTTCAAATTTAGAATTCTTCAAATTTATTTGGCTTGACAAATCGGTTTTTTTTCTTGAATTTTCCTTCGCTTTCAGGATCTGCCCTTGCTTGCTTTTTTGATTACCAGAGGCAGATGGTCTTTTAGTTGGACTCTCCATCTTGTCCACCATTTTTTTAGGACTCTCCCGACTTTCCTCTATCAAATCCGCATCTGTGAGGACTTTCACCTCGCTAAATAGACTGGGAATCCTTCTGCCGGAAAATGATCTGTTGTTGTTTCGCTTGTAAAACAGGCTGGCTTGTCGCGTTGACCACCTTGAAGCACCATCACCGAAAGCACTACTACTTCCTAGAGTTTTCTTCTCTGATTCAACATTTATAGCTTGTCCTTCGAGGGACGTTCTTTATTCATAATGGACAGAGAAAAAAACAAACACCAAAAAAAATTAAAGCTACAAAATCGGTAATTAATTTTACTTTTCAACTGGACGGATCACTGAATAAAAGATCCCAACGAAATAATTTTTAACAATTTATCACTTATCATCACTGAGGAAAACAATGTAAACCCACCTCCAAACAACGGCGTTCTTTTCGTCGAAAAGCACCCCTCTGAATACTTTTGATCTGTGTTTAACACAGACAAGTAGACAGTTTTCTAAGGCTTGTTCCACCGTTGCAGAAAGAACCGATCCCGCTTGTAAACAAGACATTTTTCGATTAATTTCTGTTGATATTTCACTGATCCATTTCCTTCGCACTCATTACCACGTCTTCTCCAAAAAAAAGTAAGGAGAAAATGGAAACCCATCATATCATTATTTACAAAAAAAAATTATTTTATCAAAATTACTGTAGTTTTTGTCACTTAAGTTCATTTTTCAAAGATTTTCCATCGAACTTCGAGTTTTTAATCAAGAAAAAGGTTACGAACACAAGACAACGTAAATATTTGGATGCGCTTGGAGTGTTCAAATTAGGAATTCTCAATAGTTTCTTTTCTTAGTTAAGGAGTTCCTAACGAAGGTACCATGTTTTCGGGTAGTTTTGAAGCGTGTGGCAATATTATCCCAGCGTCGTACGTACAGCAAGCTCGGAATGCAAGAAAAAGTCGGGAAAATCAAATCAGAATTTTCCTAGAGCACGTAAGTAGTCTAAAAGGGTGTGATGGTTGTTTTAAAATCAAACTTTGCCAGACTAGGTAATTGTTCATTCGACTGCTTGGTGCCATTTAGTGACCCGCAACCGTGTCGCTGCTATTGCAGGACATGATTTGTTTAATAGATCATGGTATTGACTGTAAAATAATGTTGAAATACATTGCCTTCCGTAGCTGCTGGATCGCGGAAGGAATTGCAAAACATAATGTTTCATGATCATCTTCCTAAAACAATTTGGAGTGCCAAGCTTCCAGGGTTGGCGAGGAGAGGGGGGGGAAAGATTCAGACTGATCTATCGGAAAATGCTTCCGGTTAGGAAGCATTTGTTCATAATCCATACATTTTCCATATCATAAGCAGAATCATACACGCATCTTGATTGGTTGTTACTAATGATCTATTGTAGAACAGAGGCATGGATGATGTCACCATTATCAACATTTTGCTTTCTTATCACTTTAATGATTCGTTCTTACCACATTTCGACGTTATCTGCTATCTATTACTTTACAGACGCATAGTAACAAAGAATATGTTTGTTAAGTGTTGGATACATGTATGGCACTGTTTCAAGAATTGACTTCTGCATTGTAGGAAGTGTGGAGATAATCTGATCAAGCATGCCAAATTGTAGAACTTACTCATGGACTGAGTGGAAGGGTGGGCTGGGAAAATATTTGGCTTGAGGTCATGACGTCTTGAACTCTCGTGACTGAGAGCCGAATATATTTTCCTGTCGTGCCCAACTAAACTCAGTAAATAAGCATTTTATTACATGACCTCTAAGTTTTGAAAATTCAATCTAAATAGGATGTGATAGACAGGCAGAGGCAGCCACATGAGCACAAAAAAATTCTGCAAGGAAAACTCTCCCTTTATTTTTTCAAGTCAGAACAAGAAACTCCCAATTCCTTAAAAAATGCGACTTTTTTTCTCGTTTCTGTTGTCATGTAAGATTTTGCAATAAAGCAGTGTGAGGCAGCAAGGCCACATGGCCTTTTCTGGACTGGCTCACATCAACCCGTCCAGTCCTGCACATTTCAGCTTTTGCTGTGGTTTTCTATGGGATTGCACAAGCGGGGCTGGATGGGTCATATGATAAAATTCCATAATTACTTAGTACCCCTTTCTCATTATCTCAGCAATCACCTTTTAGTTTATTACCATGACCAACTACACAGACCCAGGCACAACTGATTGAGGTTGTGGTACAAAATGCAGTTCACATTTTACCAGTTGAATGTACAAGTCCCTAGAAGTGCTTAGTCTTATAACATGTAAAGCTCAGTGGGCTTGGTATTTGTATCCCTAGGCAGTACTTTCAATAAGACCCGGTGCCCACCAGAGCTCCAGCGGGTATTCTGTTGTGAGTCGCTGGGTGTATTTCACTGCACTCAAGTTGCGGTCACCATGCTCAAGTCGCACTCAAGTCACTCTCCAGCAGGTGTTGTACCCAGGTAGACACCTATTTTAAATCTTATTGAAAGCACTGCTATGTTAACAGGTTATTAGCAGACATCCTGTTTTTGAAGGAAAGGAAATTCTATGTTCTATGCTCAAAGGGGTTTGGTTATTTTAAACATTTCATTCCCAAGATCTTATTAGTAATTCTTTTAACTCTCTGCTATACAATTCTTATGATGTTAATGAATAAAGGCTGATAGTTTCGAAAGAAACTGTTTGGGGCTGTGTCGGTGGGAGTAACAAAATAATTTGGATATATCAACAAAGTTGAAGTGGTAAATTGGCCACCGTAATGATTACAAAAGCTGACGTATCGAGCGTTAGCCCTTCGTCGGAGCGAATAGAGGAATTGTGGGTTGTGTGTGCTTTTAAAGGCAGAGAATGGAGCTAAGTTATGGGTGGGAACATGGCAACGAGAAAAACAAGAATAAATTAGTGGAATGAAAAGTGTTTGTTGATCCCTGTGGGATTTAGACTGCCAGTTTGAAAGATGAGCTTTTGTTCAAGATTTTTATGGCTTTCTGTGCTACCCAAGTGTAAGGAAAGACCACAGATTGCCATATGTTGCTTAGAATGATTAGGTAAATCAAAATATCTAGCGACTGGATTCGATGTGTCCTTGTCATTCCTTTCCACGTCTCGAAGGTGTAATCTTACGATGTTAGTTGAGAGAATTTGGTATCGAATCAATTAATAATCCCCTAATTTATATTTTCTACATCACTTGTCTGCTTAATATTGTATCATTTGATATCGTAAGGAGAAATTCTCTCTTGGTCACACATTGGAATTAACATTGGGAAGGAATGAAAGTGCATGACTGTGTATCTCCATGAACTGTACTCAGAAATACAAAAACTTTTTTTCTTTGTTTAAGAGGTTGTTCCAGATTAAAGCTTTAATTTTTAACATTTTATTCCTATCATTTTTGCATTCAGAGAAAATGGCCATCAGAGGGTTGGGATGACACTAGCATTGAACTTCTGTTGCAAGAACTATCAATTATGGACAGTAACAACTTCCCAGGTAAAATAGTTTCCTGATAACAGTTCACAGGGAAATAGTTTCAATCCAGGATGTGCAACTTGTCTTTTTTTTTTTTCCTGGTTTCATTATCACTATCAAGCTCTTAAAGTGTTGGTCATAATTGATTAAAAAGGAAGCAAATCTTTTATTATTATCTTCTGTTCAGCTTCATAACTTAGTTAGTAGTAATATCCACCATACTCATTGGACCCTTACACTCCCAAGATCTGCTTTTTAATTCTCCCCTCTAGCTACTACACATTTCCTTGTAAATAAGTTACAAGAACTTGGTGTTAGATCAAGTTAACAACTTCTGCCTCATAAGTTTGAGTATTCTCATTACCTGTCTGCTGAATAATGTATGGATATGATGGGGAGAAATTTCATGTTAATCATTTCTCAGAGTTAAAGGTTTAAAGAAGAGATGAACCCACTAAACTTTGCCTTTTTCCTTGTGGCTTTGTAGCTCAGTTGGTACTGTAGCACCCAACTAGTATCTGACAGGTGTGTGTTTAACTTCTGTAGGAGCCTGAATTTTTTCAAGTTTTCTTTTCCGCAATTGCTAATTGCAGCTCACCTGCAAAGATCATTCCTTTGGTTGATTTTCATCTACAGGTCTAATGAAATTTATTCCATTACAAAATTGTGGTCTTATCTTCAGTATTAATGGGTTTTCTTTTTTCAGGAAATGTTGGTGCCGGTGAGAGGGAAGGGAGGGTAATTTCATCCCTGGTGTCAAGAAGACATTTTAGGTAACTCATATCTTATAAGTGTAATGCATGTTGTCTAGATGATCAGTGAGATTGCTTAATTTTTACGAAGCAGTCCAGGCTCAAAACATTTTTTCAGATCACTGAGTTAGTACAGACAGGCTTACACCTTGTTTAGAACATTCCTCATTCACTAGAAATCACCAGAACCCAAAGACAGAATTATTATAATTATATGGTCAAAGTCTACAAATGAGACTGACTTGTGTAACTGCTACTGACATCTTATCCCAGTTCCTCCAGCAAGATGTGACTAGGAGTATTGTGTTACTCCCCTTGGATGGAAGGCTAGTTCTCTTGTTAAACTTTTATCGAGCTAAACGCCTCCCGGTTAGCTCAGTTGGTAGAGTGCCGGACTGTTGTGCGGGAGGTCGTGAGTTCAAACCCGGCCGGACCAACACTCAGGGTCTGTAAACAACTGAGAAGAAAGTGCTGCCTTTGTAATAATATCTGCAAATGGTTAGACTTTCTAGTCTTCTCGGATAGGGACGATAAATGGAGGTCCCGTCTCACAAGCCCTTGTTTGTAAAAAAAAAAAAATTTGTGGGATGTTAAAGAACCCACACACTGTTCGAAAAGAGTAGGGCATGTAGTGCCCGGTGTTGTGGTCTATCTTTGCGTAGTGTCTATCAAATTGATGGGGGGTACTGCGCCTTTGAATATTGTAGAGAAAGGGCGCAATATAAATAAGGAATTCATTCATTCATCTTGTTATTTTAATTCCCAGGTTAAGCCATGGTATTGGCAGGTCAGGTGACATAACAGCTGTGCAGCCCAAGGCTGCTGGTTCTTCTCTCCTAATGAAACTCACCAATTGCATGGCTCTGGATGTAATCAAACTAGCTGGTTAGTGTCTGAACAATTATTACTTCAGTCAGGTTCGATATGAAAATATACTTTTGAAACTTCTGTTAATTAAACCCGGTCCTGTGAGTTTAAGTGACAATGTAATTGGTTCGTCTAAGAGGCTCAAAGCTGAACTCTGCCGAACCTTCCCAATGGCATTTAGTGAACAGGGGTTTCAACATGTTTTTCCAGGTGGAGGGGATGTCCAACATTAATGTTGTTAGCAATTCATGGTATTTTGGGGCATACAGTTTTTCATCATTAACAATTTTTACCTCTCTTTGAAAAGAAGGGGTGGGGGCGCTGCATGTAAACTAAGCCCTGGTTTGGTAACCTCAAAGATTGCTTGGCTGGATTAGAATGTGTCCTTTTGTTTCATATATTGTTTTTAAAATTTGTGGCTGACTGATGATGATATCAATGATTTATTTTTCTACTCAATGATTATGCTGCAAATAATCCACTATTAAGTAGATTAATATACCAA